CACTATGTGTGATCAGGTACTTGGAGGAGAGCCATGGAGCAACTACATCCAACGGACAAGATGGCGAGGACACTGAGTGCCAAGGATGAGAAGAAGGACTGCCACGAAAGCTACAGCCACCGGTCGGGACCGGACGTCCAGCGCCTGAAGCCCCAACCGAGCTACAATGAGCGGACGACCAACCCGAACCGGACGACCGGTGCCTCCGCACCCGAGCCAAACGAGCGGACGTCCGACGTCACCGGACGACCGGCGACAGGATGTCCGGCCACTTCCGGAAATCCGGTACCTCAGCAACCGAGCCAGCACCAGCGGAAGTCCGGAAGCCACCGGACGTCCGGCCGCCCATGAGCCACTGGACGACTGCTATACACCGGACGTCCGATACTTGTCTGCGCACAGGATGAGGCCCGAGGCCCATGTACCCCTTCACTTCGCCCCCATTTGCACTAAGACTATAAATATACCTCCTCCTCCTTCTAGTTAGGGTTAGCATTGGTTTTAGCTCATTTGAGATAGAGCTTTGCTCATTCATACGGATCTACTCCTTGAGAGAGATCGCGGCCCCTCTTCGAAGAAGATCCACGTTGGATTCAAGACCTCCTTCACAGAGAAGACCCCCATCAAGACCTCCTCACGGAGAAGAACCGGTTACCCCTTGTATCGTCCCTTGTTGACTTTGGATCGTGTGATCTCTATGTGTACTTGGATCTAGCATATGTGTGATCGTTCTTGTTGGTTTGAGTGATTCTCTCGTGTTTCCCCTCGTGTTCTTTGTGTTCATCGCGGGATCTGCTCCTTTCGTGAAAGATCGGCCATCTAGGGTTCCACCCTACATCTCCCGGGCATGCCCGGGCGCGTCCGCCTGACAAGCCCGGCTCACCACCGACCCCACAAGAAAAACCCCATCTGGTTCAACGCTTCGAAACCCTAACTCACTCACACTCTCCTCTCTCGCTCCGTCCTCTCCTATTCCCACACCGATTCAGATCGAATCCGGCGCAATGTCAAGCTCCGGTAGCCGCCCCGACTCCGAGCTAGATCCGGACTATGAGCTTGCCCTCCGCATCGCCTTGGAGCGGTCCAAGGTGGAGACCGGGGGCAGCTCCAGATCTGCAGCCTCGCCGCAGACGCAACTTCCCCATCGGCGCAGCTCAAACGCCGGCGCTAGCTCCTCCCAGCCCGTGCGTAGCTCCGACAGGTGGCATGCGCAATCTGCGCCTCCCCTACGCCGTCCCCTTCCCCCGCCAGTTGCTGCTAACCCACATGGGCAGCGGCGGGTGCTTGTGCTCGCCCCGCCGGCCCAGATGCACACGTTGTAATCAGAGATGCGTGTCGGCCGCCACGAGCGGCAGCGAGAAAGGGAGAGGAAGGAGGCGGAACAGTCCATGCACCGCCGCCGCGGGATGCAGGCGGAGCCCGACTAGGACTCGGGTCTCCTCCAATGGGTCTACCGCTGATTGCTTACGACCGTGGAGATGGACGCGCGGTGGCTCCACCGGAAGAATGCCAAGGCGCTCCGGATTGCCATTGAGCAGTCCGAGCGCGAGGAGGCAGAGGCGGCTCGGCTCGCGAAGCTCAAGCGGCGGCAGGACAGAAAGGTCCGATGGCTGAATGGGCTCATCATCCTCTTTGACACCTCCGACGATGACGACGACCATGGCTCCTTGTCCGACACCAGCTGCCGATGCCTACAGCTGCGTCGGCGACCGGAAGGGCAAAGAGCCGGTGAGGAAGTGGTGAATCTCCGTCGTCTCTGTCTTCAATTTCAAGTTTTAGTAATCTAGTTTAAACTTGTCCGTCGTTTATGTGAATTATGTGAACTTTAGCGATCTTTTGGACATCAGTCGATAATCTTTGGGTGATCCGAATGTGCATTTCTATGCCCAGATTATATGTTTGTGTGATGACCTACGTTGTTTTTATCTATGTTGCATGCTAGTATGGATATGATGGACTGAATATGAGATACACGGCAGGGAGATCCTCTTTCACCATTTCTATTTTTGTTTGTTGCAGACGGTCTAGCAGCTTTGCTTAAGAAGGAGGTGGGAGATACACATATTTCACCTTTGAGAGTTTGTCCCAGAGCACCCGGTATTTCACACCTTTTATTCGCGGATGATACACTTTTGTTCTTTCGTGCAACAGAAGGGGAGGCACTTCGAATCAAGGGAGTACTGGATGTATATGCTAGTGCCACAGGACAACTAATTAACCCGCAGAAGTGCTCCATATTATTCGGTGAAAAGTGCAGACAAGGTGATAAGGAAGATGTCATACGGGTGCTGGAGGTGCAGAATATTAGTTTTGAAGAGAAATACCTCGGACTTCCTACTCCTAATGGGCGTATGAGCAAGGGCCGGTTTCAGAACATTCAAGAAAAACTCACAAAGAGGTTTGTTACGTGGTGTGACTCGATGGCACAGAGTGGGAGAGAAGTGCTAATCAAATCAATTGCTCAAGCACTCCCAACTTATTTAATGAGTGTGTTTAAGCTACCAGCATCAACTTGTGATGACCTAACTCGCATGGTGAGGAACTTCTGGTGGGGAGCTGAAAAAGGTCGACGCAAAACCCATTGGCGTGCATGGGAAAAGCTGATCCGCCCAAAGTCACATGGGGGTATGGGGTTTCGGGAATTTCGCTTATTCAACCAAGCACTGTTGGCACGCCAAGCTTGGCGAATTCTGACTCATCCGGACAGCTTGTGCTCACGGGTAATGAAGGCGAAGTATTTCCCGAATGGTAATCTGGAGGACACCGTTTTCCCATCTAATTCTTCACCAACTTGGCAAGGCATTGCTCATGGGCTTGAACTCTTGAAGCGGGGCATCATTTGGAGGGTTGGAAATGGCCAATCAATACGCATATGGAGAGACCGCTGGATCCCGAATGGAGGTTCTGGTAAACCTATCACCGTGCAGGGCCGGTGTCGTCTACGGAGAGTGTCCGAGCTGCTGGATGAACGAGGAGCATGGCGTATGGACCTTCACCAAGAGTATTTTGCCCCTGTGGACATTGAGCAGATTGTTAAGATTCGAACTTGCACACGTCTAGGAGAGGATGTCCTCGCTTGGGAACCGGAGCGTAATGGTATCTTCACGGTGCGGAGCGCATACCGGCTGGCGCTCGATGAACGACTCCGTCCATCTTCAGTCGCAGCGAGCAGGGCACCGGACGGGCGACGAGCCGTCTGGGCTTTTTTATGGAGGTGCCCCGCTCCTCCAAAGGTGCGTGTGTTTGCTTGGAGGGTAGCGACAAACTGTCTTCCCACTTGGACAAATAAACATTCTCGTACTCTTGAACTGTCTAATCTTTGCCCTGTGTGTGCCACCGAACCGGAGGACACTTTCCATGCTTTATGTAGATGCCCCCAAGCGGTCGCCCTATGGCAGTCAATGGCGCAGCAGTGGAACATCCCAGACGTCCGGCGGCTAGTGAACACAGGACCGGAGTGGCTCCTCCATGTGCTCGCTGACCTGCCGGAGGAGGAGCGCATGTACACGCTTATGACGATTTGGCGCTGCTGGCACGTAAGGAATGAGATCGTCCACGACAAACGGCCACCACCAGTGGAGGCCTCGTCAAGGTTTCTGACTAGCTATATCAGCTCCTTGCTGGCCCTTCAGGCAGACCCTCTTGGCGATCATGTGAAAGGGAAGATGGTGGCTGGCCACCAGGACAGGAGGAAACCAATATCGTATGCGTACCAGGCAAAGGAGCAGGCTCCAAGCCGGGAGGCACCGCCAGCTGGATGGGCAGCGCTTAACGTTGACGGCTCCTTCTGTGGCAAGGACGGGAGTGCTGGGGCGGGTATGGTTCTTCGAGACGAACATGGAGCTATAATCTTCTCTTCTAGCCGAGAATTACGGCAATGTGCGTCCCCGCTGGAATCTGAACTTGCAGCATGTAGGGAGGGCATTTCCCTAGCCTCCCAATGGTCTGCACTACCAATTGTTGTTCAAACGGACTGCCTAGATGTGGCCAAGCTGGTGAAGGAAGGTGGAGTGAACAGGTCGGAGCACCTGATGATGGTTCGTGAGATCACTAGGCTTCTACAGGAACGTGGGGAATATCTAGTCAAGCATGTAAGGAGAGAACAGAATGTTGTTAGCCATTATTTAGCGAACTATGGTAGAATAAATAAGCGCACTGCGGTGTGGCTTCGATCCGGTCCGGACGAGGTGCCGGACCTATGTAATGCAGATCTGGCTGCTGCTTGATGAATGAAACCCCTTTTCCTCGCAAAAAAAGAATATGAGATACACGGATGTGGCCGACAAGATTTGAGAAGTGCCCATTCAGTGCCCACGGCCGCGCCCAGGCGCGTCCGCGGGCGTTTGAGGGCCCGAATTTGCAGGTCGTTGATGTAGATGCTCTTATAAACTCTATTGATGATGGGTTTTTCTCTCTATGTGTGCTTCGAATTTGGATCTGAATTATTTATGAGTTATAAACACACGTGTTGTGAATATTTACAAACAAACAGAAATATTTAAATTTAACCATTCTTTTAAGTTTTATCATGGAGCAGGTAAGCAATGGTATCGCCCGATATTCACCCTCGTCTGTCTCTCCAATCCCCACTCTCCGACGCTCGATCGAACGGCCAGAATGTGCTAGACAAATCAGGCAAAAGTTGTGGTTGCTGGTGTTTGACTATCCATCCGCCCACCACGTTCACCTCTCAACCAGGAGGAAATGCAATAAGAGAGAGACGTACGGGCAAAGCATTGAATTATCAACGATGATGACCTCACCTTATATGTAGCAGCTCTGTAGGCGTACGCCGACACCTAACGTGCCCGATTGGTTCATTGAACCTGGACACATTCCCGCTTTCCCTCCGCGGCGGCAGCCGGCCCGAGCGGCCCGGCCTATATAAAAGGCGCCACAACCTGATCAAGAGAGATCCAGATCCCAGCGAACTCGTAAACACGTCTGTGCATAGTGCTATTACGTATACTCCCCCACTCACCCCCGAGAAGTCAGGAGGCATGGCGAGGAAGGCAGCGGCAGCGGCCATGGACGGCAAGAGCTCCGAGCTCGCGAGGGCCGTGGCGGAGGCGGAGGCGCGGGAGGAGCGGCTGCAGCGGGAGCTGGAGGCGGCGCTGGCGCGGGTGGCCGTGGCGGAGGAGGCCGAGGAGCGGCTGTGCGTGCAGCTCGGCGAGCTGGAGGCGGAGGCCATGACGCAGGCCATGGAGTACCAGCAGCACGTCAGGGCGCTCTCCGAGAGGCTCGCCCTCATGGACGGCCTGCTCAGGTCCTCCGGCCTCCACGGCGCCGTCGTGCAGCCCGGCCTTCACTGACGAACCGAATCTCATCATGCGTTCCCTTGCCTGTTATTATGTGTGATCATGCAAGGCTGTAGTGGTTGTTAAATTTTTCTCCTTTCCGCCGGCGTGTGTTTGATGCCAACTCGTGCGTGCTGGTGGCGTGTAGTGTAGGATGTACATTTCTTTTCTTTTCTTTTTGAGATGTACTGTATATAACGTCGTTTGTGTAGTTCTACATATCTCTTGAGAACATCTTAATGTTGCCCCCGATCTGTTGCAAACTTGAGCTGACGTATGCATTCACCTAATATCACACGCAACGGATTCCTTGACAACGATCGAGCGCATGTGCATATATACATGAGGAGCACACGCAAATGAGGTTCTTGATATGAAGACATAAAGAAATGAACTGGTCCCACATAAATTCGAAAAATTACCAGTGCTATCCCAAGTTCTCAACTCCATTAATCTTTCCTTCCCGCGAAAAAATAACTCCATTAATCTTGCTTCAACTCCGTAACAAAGCATAAAGCATATGCATTACGAGTAAAATTCCTTGACAAGCTATAATTGTTGGCGGCACACCGCGTGGCAACTGGTCATCAATCTCCCGACCAAAACTAATAATGTTGGCAACAAAGGCGGCAAGGAAAAACCATGAACCAGTCAAAAACACCGAAAACATCCGTTTCACCTCGGAAATTTCGGCCGAAACTGACTTCTCGTAAGGATGATGAAACTTGGAAGTCTGAACAATTCAATCAATTTGAATCACCTAGACAGCACTACTAGAAACAAGACGTGTGACACCACGCAGAAAACGACCGCACCAGCTGCTCAATTAAAAAAGAAATATATAGGAAACTTCGGACCTCGGCTATTTGACAGCACAAAGTTGACTGGTTTAATGCAATTGGAAATTGCAATGGCAAATCAGGGACCTCGGACATTTGACAGTAGCATGCATGGACATGGAACTTTTCATCCTGAAATTTGTCAATCTTCCAGATAGCTGACTGGAGGTGTGAAATGGCCATGCTCCCCAGAAACCAAGACAATTCCACGGAATTACCGTGAACGCGGAAGTGTACAGACAAGAGGTACAGAAATTGATGAGACTTGTCTCCAATAGGGTGACTTGATCTTTAATCAGGAGTACTGCGTTCAGATACGCGCCTGGAATCCAGGCTGGAAGCAGAAAAACGTCCTGTCTACATCCATGGAAGTTGGATTAAATCAATCAGTAAATCTTCTAGAGGACTAACAAAATCTTTCTCAGAGAATTAAAGATAAATTTCCAACTTCAGATTGAACAGAACAACACAAACAACAAAAAAGATGTGAGTTCCTCTTGGACGTTTGGTGGTTTCAGAGCTGGACATAAGGCTCAAAGTAGCTAATTAACCATAGCCTTTGGGCGTAGAATCTAAAGCATGACACAGAGGGTCTGCAGCCCCACCATGAACACAAAAAAAGAACTTGTGGTGTAGGGGTTGCCACCACATGCACTTCACCAGCAAAGAATCCTACCACCACATGCACTGTGTATAAAGATGCATAGCACAAGTGGATCTCCACAATCATCAAGGAAAGCATATCCGAACACCAAGAAAAGAATATTCGCCGATCGCCGATCAGTTGCAAGATTACTGACATGACTAGACAAAATGTTGGCCCATGGCTTCATTTAGAAGAAGGTATTCGGCTATGGCTTCAAAACAAAAACCTGGCACTTCCGTTACACACTTTTAACTCAAATAAGTATAGCAAATTGTTTTTCCTTTTTTTGGGGTTTAAACACACAACATAGACGCATGCCAGCGTATTCACACAAGAAGACAGAGTCCAAAAGCACCTCACTATCGAAGGGTACGTCATCCATCACCTATGCATGATCCACCTTGGTGAGACACACAAGATGTCAAACTTGGGGTTGGATCTTGGTAGGCTAGGGTAAAATCACCTCGCCTGACTACTCAACATATTGTTGGTTCTCAAACATAGTGACCTGTTACTCACAGCAGAGATTTTGGCATTTAGCTTTGCCCACAGAAGAGTTTGAAGTAGCAGCATGGTGACTATGGTGACCCCTTTAGTTTAATAAAGTGTGTAAATGGTAAACCAACAACCCAAGTGCTGAACTTCGTAGGATTACTGGATAAATACAACTGGGGCGTAAAGCACAGTTCGAATTTTAGCCATAAGAGTGGGCATGTGCAATGTTTGAGGTGTAGTTATAAGTACTTAAATGACACCACTTTCCATTATAACCAAATCGAGGACTACAATTTCGTCAAAAAAAAAAAATCACACGATTCTAGCACAAGGTTGGCCACTTGCCTTGAAATGATATTTGTTCTGAGTGCATGGTCCATGAATCCATGTGATATGCCCAATTACTAAGGTCTAAGGGTGTCGCCAATTTGTATTCCTTATAAGTTGGTCTTATGGTGAGTCCTACAGTGATCCTTTCATGCCTAAATGAAAAGATCAGAAACCAATGACTCCGTATGATATGCCCAAATACTAAGGCAACGACTTTTGTTACATATTAGGATAAAAATAACTAATATTGGGCTCTTTGTTTCTGAACTACTACTATCAATTTCGAAAAGTTGATAATTCATCGCCTCCTATGGTTCACCAGCTGACAAGCTTCATTAGACTTACACTGCTTGATGTCCATGTCAAGCTACAAAACCGCTATCACTAATCTGTGAACTGCAGACAAGTCCCCCAATAACACATGGCCCAAAATATCTATAACAGCACACAATACTCAAATGTTAAATTGATTCTAAATATGCATATGTCAGTGGGTACAGTTCCAATACTCCTACTGCAGTGAAAGCAAAGAGACTCCAGGTAGCTACTTACATCCACTACGATGACTCATATTCACTAACTATTATGTCAAGTGACCTGAATTATATGACATGGGAACAATTTAAATGAGTTGATAATTTAATCAGCAAAGGGATCAACATAACCCTGTCACTTCAACTTAACAATAATTGTATGAGTAATGTGACTATAATAAAATAGTTGCCGTAATATCATCTGTGACAGGCTTGCTACACATGAATGATAGGCACATATTTATTTCTTGCAAAAAGAAAAGTACATAATTGTTTTTGTGGGACATCAATAATGGTATGCAGATAGTAACTGCAGCAAAAAAGAATCCAATCACCTAACAGCTACTACACTGGAAAGGAAGCCCAACAAGATCAACCCAAAAGATTAATGTTAACTGCATTCTGAATTTGCACAGACAGCAAGAACGTATTTTAAAGACTTATTGATTACAGTCATACAGTGCAGATTAGTAAATTTGTTAGGCTAAGATTACAGTAATAGGCATGAACAATCACATATCGCCAGTGGTACTGAGTGATATAGGCACATTGAAAAGAATGCAGATATGATTGTCAAGCTTCATGCACTAGCCAACGCAACCAAAAGTCCGAACTGATGGAAAGGGCTAGGCAATCCATATATACACTTCAACAATGATAATACTAGAAACAAAAACGGAATTGCTTTGCATATGATATTTTCAGGTACAAATCTCATACGATCCGATGTGTCTCAACTGGGCTGCATGCTCCACTTGTTTCCTTTTCCAGATAGAGCTGGTAGATTCGATGAAAGCACATGCATCTGCTATTGTACTTGTGTCGAACGTGAAAACGCCGTACATATAGCAGAACTCAAACAAAAACACATGCCAATGCACAGAATAAAAAGTCATCAAGTCAATTAACTTAGAAACCTGATGAACAAAAAGATCTTTCTTGACACACGGAAGCAGAAGGTGATTGCTATAAGTAGAACTGGACAGTAATCAGATTTCACATACCTAATGTATGCAGGTAAGCCCATCTATAACCATCATTTATTATACAACACACCCATGGAAATTAGAAAACCTTCATAATAGAGGCTGGGCTCTTGTGAAAATAAAAACACCACCACCGCCAACTGAACGCCCCAGGAGCATGTCACGGTCAAGGTAAGAAAGATAGTATAGTCCTCCAGGCGATCGTCTGATAAAAATTCAGTATGGAACTTAAGAACAAAGGAAGCAAAGAAGGAAGATTGTTTTCTTCGAAAAAGTACCTTTCCGGGCCGCTGATAGGAACTTGAGCTCGGAAAGTTTTAAGGAACTGCAATATCTGCAAAAATAGTCACTGCAATGAAACACTTGTATAATAGTTGATGAGCATTTTGAAAGTGAAACAATGATCCTAAATAAATAATTACTTTTACAATAACCGTTGTATTCTGGAACAAAAGAGAATAACAATAAATCTTTTGGTAACTAGCATTCTCAAAACTATTATAACTGTCGAATGAAAATATACATATGGACTACAGAGGATGTGCATGCTTTTAATGAAAAGGGAAAATGATTGTAACCATAACAGGTAATATTCAAACTGAAGAGATAATTATATTCATATAACCTGGCTTACCTGAAGACTCAAAAAAGACCGAGGAAGTATAGCAGGAGCTATCAGTGCTTGTAGCTGCTCACTAATCTTGATATTCTCTACAGCAACCTATTAGACATAAATCAAAGAAAACAAAATTGAGAAAAGATGGTGGCATAAGCACAGACTTCTTCCCAGAAGCCTTAGCTTTAGATGGTGCATGAAAATACAGAAAACGGACAAATTTCAGCATTGCAAATAACTTTTTGTTCTCAAACAGACATATAAATGCATGCCATTTTGTATTAGAAGGCACATAGATGGCGTGAATCTTATAGCCAAACAGGCAAAAGGGAGAAAAACTAAGCTAAAACCAAAACAAAGCGAAGCCAAAAATTAAGTTTAAAATAGTAGATATTGGTCGTTGCGTTATCTTAGCACTTTTCTTCTCAATGAAAATGACACCCTTCCAGGTGTGTTCGAGAAAAAAAAAGCCAAAAAGAGAGAAACCAACAAAGAACTGTGCAACTACCCTGTGTGCATTGCAAACAACTCGTAGCCATGAGCAGTAAGTTAGAAATATGAAGATAACATGTCAGAGTCTGGCTCTATTCTAGCACCATGTTTCATGTGAAAATGAATCATGGATAATGCTAATGTGATTCATATACTACTCCCTCCGTCCCAAAATAAGTGACTCAACTTTATACTAGCTTCAGTACAAAGTTAGTACAAAGTTGAGTCACTTATTTTGGGACGGAGGGAGTACTTAGCTGCAGATGCGGAGATACCTCATAGAGCATACCTATCACCTACGTAGCCTACCACTACTGCACACTGAACATCACATCAGATCTAACATACGCTTATTCAGTTTTTCTGATGGATTCTTAATTTCCTTCCAGTTAGTTTATGCATGCTCTTTTCCATACATAACGGGAATTTTTTATGTGGGTATAGACAGGAAGGTGCTGCTGGCAGGGGTGGGGACCAGGCAGATGCTGCTGAACAAGTGCTGTTGAGTGTTGACTCAGGGGAGGGTCAAGGAACAGGGAGATGAAGCTTCTATTGATGAATCACTTCGATGAGTCCAGAACTGCTGTTCAGGGAATGTTCTATGGTCGTTTTGGCATCCATTTGAGCTGCTGTAAGTGTCGTTCCTTTTTCAGTAACCTTGATTGCTATACTTTTGGTGGCAGCTGGAACTTCTAGTTTTGGTTTGTTAATAGTAGGTAGCAAAACCCTTTGGAACAGCCATGCCTGGCATATTGATTCTGGATTGATGTTGCGTTCCAGTATTGAAAGATAGTGGAAACTACGCCTAAGCTTGTATGGAGAAAAATGTCTAACCTGCTTTCTTATCATCACCCCCAATCTTTCTTATTACAACACTCCCTCGAATAAGCAGGCAAAGATATTTTCAATAGAAAAATTACCTCCTCGAACTGAAGAAATATGTTGCTCTTAGACAGAACATCAAATTTTGCAGAGACCATCAGTGTTGCACCCTCTTGCTCCTATATAGACCACTAACAGAATCAAACACAAAAGAGCTAAACCAAATGAGAGTTAAAGACAGAAGTGTATACAGTACTTAATCAATGACATGCAAACAGGCTGATAAGCAGAATATGTCAAATGAAGGGATTATAAATCATTTTTATGCCAAAAATCGTCATACTACAGACTGCAAAATATAAAAATAATGCAATTCTAGACCAAAATCTGTTCCTGTAACAAAAGGACTATGAACATTCTGCAATCATTTTACCAAGCCGCTGCAAAGCTAAAAATACCGTTTTCCTATGCTTTTCACTATATTATGGCCATATCCATGCATATGATACAATGATCCTTTTTACGAACCAGCCTCTCCCCTCTTCGATTGGTTAAACGGAAACAACCAAGTCATGTTTATATCAGTAGAAGGGCAGAAAAGCACATATGATGAGCTAAAGGCTCTACTTAAGTATATATCAGCAACTTGTGAAGATGAATTGTCGTAAAGAAGAAGCAAATATACACCATGCTATCTAAGGTGCAAAACTTTCACCGTTTCACTGCATACTAATGCCATCCTACTACAAACTTACAAGTTAACAAAGGATATTGTCCTTCTGCTGTTTTGCATTTTTTGACCATCCACAATGATGACACTCATAAAACAAAAACATGTACATTCTGAGTTCCAGGCACAGTCGACAGCACCAACAGAAAAACATAACAACTAATGTTTTTGCAAAAACTAAATAAGACCTGTTCTGGCGCAAAGTTAGCTTAAAAGAACAAAACCTCCAAGAAAGGACACATAGGTGCATAATTATCATAAAGGTATACCTCCAGCAAGTTCTCGATGCTCCAACGCACGACATTCCGCACAATTCCACCATCCGACCGACCCTTGCACTCAAATTTCTGGTATATTTGCCCTACCTGCACATATCCAAAAGCACCACCCCTGACATAAGGCTTCCTACACTTTCCGCAAATTTATCAAACATGATCATCTGTCTATACACACTACAAAGCAATTTGAAGTGTCAGAAAACAACTCATGATCAACCACTAATAGCTCCAGGTTTCCATAGAGCGTTAAAGTGCACACAACGGAATAGCAGAGTTTCCACGATATCAAACATGTGCATACTTTCTACTATTTGTTAACTGTCATGGGATTCTCATGATGAATTTTGAAAAATCGTGGACAGGCAGAGAGAGAGACCTGCAGGAGAGGGAGTCTCTCGGCCGCCTCGAAGAGCATAAGCACGTCCGACGCAGACGTGTAGCACAGCCTCCAGGTGCCGTCGAGCGCAGCGAGGTCCAGCGGTGCCCCCTCCCCGGCGCCGAGCTCCTCCACGGACACCTATACACCACGCGCACACATCAGATCGAATCCCTCGCTGTCCGCCCAGGAGTAAATGCGATTGGAGGAAAGAGCTAGAGCGGGGGTCTAGTACGATGGCATCCTCGATGGCCGCGCGCTGGTCGGGGCTGGCCCCCGAGCCGCGCCCCGTCTCCTGCACCGCCCGCAGCAGCTCGTGCTTCCGCCCCTCCGTGTCCGCCTGCGAGCGAGCAGAGCGTCAGATCGTGCGTGGAGGTAACGAGGGGGTCGGGGGGGTCGGGGGTCCGACGGACCGTACTGCGGTGAGCGGGGCGGCGACCGCGGCGGCGAGGAGTGGAGAAGGGGTGCGACGTGGGTTCTGAGGGCGGAAGTGGGCGTGTCTCTGGAGAGGCGAAGACGGCGGTGGTCGGGGAGGAGCGGCGGGGAACCGGCGGGAGGGCGCGGCGGCGAGCGCCATTTTTGTGCGCGTTCTGTGTGGCTGGAGTGGACGAAGGCGCCGAGGTCCTGGCCAGTTCCGCTGCCACGCATCGGCATGGGCTGCCTCTTGCCTGCCGTTGGCCAGAGATGCATACCCTCCTCACCTGCCGTCGCCACCGTCCGTCGAAGATCCGACGGTAAGAGCGATTTTTTTTTTGGCAAAATGAGCGATTTATTCTTCCTGCGTGTAGCACTCCCACGGCGCCTAGCAGCCAAGCTTTCCATCCTCGGCGTTTCAGACTTTCAGTTAGGCATGTAACCTCTCGCAGAAATTCCACATTAAATTTTAATGCGATTGCTATCCAGCGAACGCTCGCTGAAGGTGGATGGCAAAACAAACATTTTTCACAGCAATTTTAGTTGCAGGAACATGGCTATTCCTTCAAGCACACACGACAATTTTCATAGCAAAATCTGTTGTTGCTAAATTGCCATGTGTTTCTAATGAAATTGCCATGTGTGTTTTGTAGAACTTGGCATAAAAATGTTCTCAAACAGTCAAACTGGCCATTGGGATCCAAATTTAAACAACTGTTAAAACTTCAAGACCTATCTTGCATTGCAAGCAAGATCCATGAAGTGCAAATAGCATCTTAAATAAGCACCCAGCACTGTAACCACCCAACACTACTCCAAAAACTAAATATCCTACTACTAGTCACAGGGAGAACCTGTAGGCATTCAAAGATGGGAATCAACAAAACTTGACGCAGAAGGAAAGTTCCCTTTACTCCGGATATAATTGCCTTACAATGTACAATCATGACCTAATCCCTTTTAGAATGGAAAAAGGAAATTCCACGGCAGTATAAGTTTGCGTTGAGAACAAGCTTGTTGGATTAGGAACACTAAAATCTCTTGAGATCTTCAGACATCTTCATTTGGACCGCAGATGGTGGATACTCAACTAGATCTTCAGAGATCTTGGTTTGGATCGCAGATGGTGGATACTCAGCTAGATCTACAGAGAGCTTTGCTTCGGATCACAGATGGCAGATACTGGAGTAGACTTCTCCAACTGCAGCAGCAATGCGATGTTGAGCTCCTGCAGGCTCTTCTCCAGTATAAGTTTTGAAGTTTCAGTGGCTTCAGGCTGGCTCTTGTTTGAATAGTTCCAAACCTCTCTTCTGCTGATGATTTCTGTTCACAATGCACTGGAAAAGACTAATTGTAAGGATAGCAGCAAACAGTTTTGCGGTATCTCTTCAAAATAAACTGACAAGCGCTCCGACAGTTACCTGAAAAGCATTCTGCGGCCGAAGACTTTGATGGTACCTCGCTATTCTACTGCTGCAAAGGATCTCAATGATCTTCCATAGCTCCTGCCTCCCATGGACCAAGAAGTGCGAAAGAACACCAATTCACCTGCACAAGCATACAAAACAAGTGAACACTATGAACAAATGAAATCAACTTAACAAAGGGAACATCACATAAAGACCAAAATATTTTCAAAAAAGTTAGCACCTGGATCACCCTGCAAAACAGAAAGGAGTCAAGGAAAGAAGCAAGTCAAAACAAAGCAGGAGGAAGCAATATAGATGTTAGAAACATAACCTGCAAAGAAGAAAACATTTAACTGAAACAAATAAGCTATATGAGAGCAAACCATAAATAGCTGAGACCTGATCAGCAACCTGCCATGCAAAGCACTAATTATGAAGGAAATTTAGTTAGTAAGTTCACGCCCCAAGAAATAGGATAATGTAATCTGCAACGGATTTACATCACCAACTATGTCAAGCAAATTTGCACAGCTTGAATGCACTGACTGAAATGCAGCAGATAATGAACCTCAAGAGAGCATAAGAAAGAAAGGAGCTACAATAATGAAAAGTTGGAGCAAACAAGAGCGCCGCGCTATAGAGAAATAATCTAAACGGTAATAGCAAATGATTAATACTAAGTAATTCAGAATAGGCTGTTCAATCGAAGTTACGATTACAACAAGGTCCCATAAAACTGAATTGATACTACATAGACATTATTTAGTGCCTCTAAGGAGTCTCATATCCCTTCATAAGTCTATAAAGAAGGAATCTCTTATAGTTTCCATCCTGTCAAAGAAGGGGAAATGGAGTAGACATCCGCATAAGGTAGCCGGGGAAAGAAAAGATGGAAGTCTCGTTAGCTCTAGCTCAGGTCCATGCCATCTCCAGCTTGGCTCGGTATCGGAGACACGGCGGAGTAGGATCTCTCAAAAGGGGAAGGATGCAGCTGTGCACCACGCCTGCGCTTGAAGGAGCACCCTTCATGGCTGCTGTCAGCTTCATGCTTCCTCCGAATCCCCCTCACTGCCTGCAGCTCCAGTGGTGAGAGCGCGAACAACTGCCCACTCACTCGGCAAAGCGAGTTGTGGTTGTCATAGAGGATCCTCTGGTTACAGTTTTTGTCACAAATGTGTGTCATTCCAGTCAATTTGCAGCGGTACATGTTTCCAAAGATGTGCTCATTCTGGCACCTCATGTCACACTTGTGACTGGGGATTTCCCCTTCTGTGTTCAGAATAGTGGACAAGAAAATCACATTGCTGGGCTCAGCAATCACAGATTTGCCAAGTACCTCCATTGTTCTGCCGTGAGAAACCTCTTCACAGACCCCCTTTTCTTGGTTTCTGAGATCGGAGTTTCTGCAACCCAGAACAAGAATTTGCTTCAGAATTTTGTTTTGAAGCACTTGCATATGACCCATGCGGTGACAGTTCTTGTTGCTATTACTGAACTAGTTCATAGAATAAATTGCAGTGAATCTGAGAGGACTTTTGCATCGAACGCAAGAAAAAACTAGTATTAAAAGTGGCGCAACCTCACGAAATTGCCACTAAATTTGCATGCAAGATTTATCTTCGACCACAATTTTCTACAGATAAATCTCGGTCACTTATGATTTCTGAATTCTAACATTGCTGACAAGATTCACTATAAATCCGTTGGCCCTTTGGCAGATCAAAACCAGTAAAATCCCACAACACCACAACCTATAATTGAATAATTTGGATAGTACAGTCCACCTGGCATCAAACTACGAACGAACCCACAAAGTCCCACAAAAAAATCAATATAAAATTCTCAGATACAAACAAAACCTAATTCACAAGTCAGCACCTACCCCTTTTAATCCTGCAGGTAAACCAAACACCTAGCTGTCCCTTCCCCGGTTCACAAATTTACCAGATCTAAACGGTGAAACCCCCACCTACCGCACCACCCACGATAAATTCGCACCAAAACCACGAACAACCGCACCACAGCGCCAAAATCTACACCAATTAGGGATTCGGACCGACAAAATCGCATTCAAACGCCTCCTGGCAACCTCTCACGGTCTCCCCTCTCTCCTCGTCGAAACACCCCTAAAATCTGAGGCGAAAACCTCGCAGAAAAGAACGTAATAGAGGGCAGAGGCGAGGATACATACCAGTAGAGCTCGAAGGCGGAGGAGGAGACGAGGTAAAAACAACGCGGCCTTCGGTCTCTCCTTCCTCTCCCTCCCTCCCTCTCTCTCTCCGCCAGGGAACACCAACCTCTCGCGGAGTCAATTGCAACGGCCCGGACGAAGAGGGGTTGGGGAGGGGTGGGTGTCCATTTATAGGATCATGCCGTTCGCCGAATGACCAAAATGCCCCCTGGATGGCCCGGACGTCGACACGGAGGAGCTCACTCGCTCACTGTCCGTCCCTGCTTCCGCGGATCGGTCCGGCTCGGATATCGGCTCTATCCGTCCTGTCTCCTCCAAGTAACCCACTCCTGCCCTCGTTGTCATTTCGTGCTAATACTAATATTAGCACGAACCTTTTCTTAGACAGGGCACATGATAGCTCACATGTAGCTCAATTTTGCTGTTGACACACCGTGCAGTTTTGTGCGCCTTTGGATGTTGATCAAATTTTTAAAAGGTTACAGCATCTCCAACGGCCTTTCTATATGGGAAATGTTTACAGACGGTGCGCCGGCCGAACGCTCGGCCGGTCTTATCGCGAGCGTTCAATCTATCGGGATCCTGTGTCTATCCCACATCCTCCTGCGTCTATTTTTTTTTCTTTTTGCCTTATCTTCTTCCACCTCGACCCATCCTCCCTTTTCCTCTTTCTCCGGCAAGCACCACCGGCCAGTGGACTCGCGCCCAGCTGTGCGTCCCCCTCGCGCGCCCAATCCCGTTGCCTTTTTTGCTGCAACCTCATCGCCATGGTCGCACCCCTCGCATGGCAGCGCCCTCGCGCCGCTCCTGTCGCCATGGCCGCGTGTGATGGGGTGTGGAAGATGCGGCGGGGGCAGACCTCGGGGGAGATGCAAAGATGACCGGCGGAGCTGCAACCAGCATGGCACGAGCTGCAAACCGTCGCGACTAGATGCTACGAGCAGCGAGGTGGAGCTCAGCGACAAGCATCAACCGGAGGTGACTGGTGCTGCAAACAGTGTGATTTTTAGCTCGAACCGGCCGGAAAAAAAGCTGCATCCAGCGTGAATTTTTGCTGGACCAGCAATGAGGAATGTTCCGACCGACGACGGGCATAATGTTGAAAGCTTCAACCGGCATGTAAAAAGGCTTCAACTGCCATGAAAAAAAGTTACAACCGTTCAACAAAAAAGCTACAACCACGTTCATCAGAGCTGCAACCCGAGTTCGCCGTAGTTTTGTAGCCACTATGATCCAGCGATATTTGCTACAACTGGTGTTGTTTTTTGCTACAACCGGTGTCTCATTTTGCGGCATTGCCATAGCCGGCGTCGGGAATTTTTGCTACAATGCTGTCACGTCGTGCTACAACCAGCACTTCAAATTGCTACAACCGGCACACGAGAATGCTACCACCGCTGAGAAAAAAGCTCCAACTAGAGATACATGGAAACTGAGGGGGGCGCCATGGAAGCTGCAGTCGGCACCTGAGAAAGGTACAACTGTTGATGGGAAAAGCTCCAACTGACAAACAAAAATGCTTCAACCGGAGGTGAACAGAAGCTATGGTCGGAGGACGAAAGCTGCAACCGGCTATGGAAAAGCTACAACCAGCGTTTGCAGAAGCTTCCACCATGTACGATGATGACCATGGCGAGTTTTCGACTCGACACGCCGGCGGGCTGCAACTAATGTTGCCGACGACCATGAAGTAGCGAGCGCTGGGCGGCCGGGGGCGAGCGCGCGGCGGCCGGGGGCGAGCGCGCGGCGGCCGGGGGCGCATCCAACGGCAGCCGGGAGCGAGCGCGCGGCGGGCGGGGGTAAGCGCATGGCGAATCTGAAGTAGGGGGAAGGGGGAAGAAGACGATGACGTGGGAGAGGGGTGATCGAACGGCTCTAATCCCACGCATCGGGTGGCTGGGGCTAGACCGGCCGAACTGCTCTGTCGGTGCGCCGGCGCTTAACAGTCGCCTTTCTATATAGGATTGCTAAAAACATGTTATAGCAAGAGGAGGGAGAAGGTTTACAAAACCAACATGTTTTTTGCGTTGATAGCCTTTATATATCGGATTGCTATATTTGCACAAAACACACAATGACACGTGGAAACAGTTTGTCGTAGATACAATGACATGTGGAAACAATTTGACGAGGCTGACGAAGCGGATGGGGAGGCGGATGCGGACTCGCCGGAATCTCCACCATCGCCGACGCCATCTGGTTTTGATCTGCGAGTTCTTTAATTCAGGCTACGACGAGGAGGAGGTGGCTTCGACTATAGACAAAGTGCTACCCCTGGATGATCCGACAAGGAAAGGACTACACGCGGGGGAGAAGAAGGAGATGATCCAGCGAGTCGTTCATCGGAGGACGACGGCGTCGGCGATCAGGCCATGGAAGGGCCCCATCCCCAAGGTATGTCTACCCAATATTACTCTTTTGGATTTGATTCGTCCGGAGTCTTGGACCATGGTTGTGAGGAGGAAGAAAGGCCGCTGGGCGGTGGCTGGACCGGCGCCGACGGCGACCGCGACGTCAGCTCCGGAAATCCCGGCGATCGGGATCGGAGCCGCCCGGGCGCATCATTTGAACGAGTTTGTGGGCCGTGATGGGCCAGTGTTTCGCGACAACGAGTCGGGCCTAGCTAGGACTGGATATGAGGCCCAAGTCCCCAGCCAGGACACCGATCAGTGTTTCGGCGCAGTACTCAACGTGCATGGGATTAAGTCGACGAGAGGTTCGACTAGCCCTGCTATCTCGAGTCTATTCTTTCTTACGTCGGAGGCGGCTAGGGTTCGCCGGGTCATCGTGCCGGGTTTCCCAAGGATCGTTCTCAGGAGAGCTGCGCGGGTTCGTCCTACGGTAGTGTAGCGCCCAAGATGTGATTTCTATCCCAATCACGTGATGAATTCATGATCGGGGCACAATCGCATTTCGAGCGCATAGCAAGGTGGATATCATTACAACATACCATGTACTGAATAGATGAGAATACAAGGTAAAGGCTTACACTCGCCACAAGCTACAACATGAATACAACAGTTCATCAATACATAGCAATCATCATACAGAAGAGCAGGATCCGACTACGGATGAAACCAAACGAAAAAAGAAGAACGACATCCACCCTGCTAATCCCAGGCTCCCCGACCCGGAACCTATTCCCTTGATCGAAGAAGAAGAACAACTCCAAAAGCAATCAAGCATCGCTCTCACATCATGAGCATCGCATTACCTGTACCTGCAACTGTTGTTGTAGTAATCTGTGAGCCACGAGGACTCAGCAATCCCATTACCATGGGTATCAAGACTAGCAAAGCTTAAAAGGTATGGAAAGGATAAGTGGTGAGGTTGCAGCAAGCGGCTAAGCAATGTATTGTGGCTAACTTACGAGTACAAGAATAAGGTAAGAATCTACGCAAACTAGTAATGATCAATAAGTGATCCTGAACTACTTATGTTCAAACATAACCCCACCGTGTTCTCTTCTCGAACTCACTCAAAAGAGACGGTCACGGTTATGCACGCGGTTGGTGTATTTTATTTCGGGATCGCTGTCAAGTTCTCTACAACCGGATATTAACAAATTCCCATCTGTCACATAACCGCGGGCACGGCTCTCGAAAGTTTAAAACCCTGCAGGGGTGTCCCAACTTAGCCCATGACAAGCTCACAATCCGCGGAGACAATCCTCCATCACGGGACATCCGATCAGACTCGGAATCCCGGTGCACAAGACATTTTGACAATGGTAAAACTAGTCCAGCAAGACCTCCCAACGTGCCGACACCCTGATAGTAGCCGTGCGTATCTCGTCTCAGGCCACGATGAATGAGCTAAGCGTACATGTACCAACATACCCCAAGTTGCCTAGGGGCGGTCCCGCATGGTGCTCTAGTTTGGGACCAACACCATCAGCACTGGCCCCCCTGCTATGTAGAAAAATCCTCGGGTTCACGACGCCCTATGCCAATTAATTATTAGGTTCAAACATTATTATGGCAAATGTTAAAACCAATGTTGGGCCTTGCTGGAAGAGTTTTATTCAAAGCGAACTGTCAAGAGGGGCCCGTAAACCCTCATCGTGTTAGGGACGCAAAATCAAGGAATATAACACCGGTATGACGAAAACTAGGGCGGCAAGAGTGGAACAAAATACCAGGTAAAAGGCTGAGCCTTCCACCCTTTACCAAGTATATAGATGCATTAATTAAATAAGAGATATTGTGATATCCCATGATATCCATGTCCCAACATGGAACAACTTGCAACTGCACCTGCAACTAGTAACACTA